CAGTTCTTACAGTTTTATACATTATTTAATGTTTGCACTTTATTTACAGTATATTTAAAGAATTGTTTTTAACACAAAGTCAGTTTGACTTAACTGGTTTTCTCCTAAATCTCCTAACTGACAAATGTGTGCAAATGTATGCCCTCACCAGTAATAGATAGGTGTGCTGAATGGGACTATGACCTGTTACACAGCCAGGAGGATTTCCGAACACAAGGTATACTTTGAAACAATTTTCAGATTTGTGTCTATACTTTGTCATAGTACGTGCATTATAAGACCATCACGCCTGTCATGACTCTCATTGTCCCCTTTGATTGTCAAAACACCATGGTGCTGCAAGAAAGATTAATCTCAGCTCCCAAAATCTCTACTCAATAAAACAGTGAGACCATAACCATAGAAAGATTTAATATTTCAGACATCAAACTTACTATTTGCAATAATACTAGTTAACAAATTTCACTGCTCAAAAGTAAACCGCTATCTCCTGCAGGTAATACACTGACAAAGGATGACTACCTCATAATCCTGAACTATCTCTTTAGGGGTTTTCTCACTCATGTGTTTGTAATAACTATATGACAAGAACACCACATAACGCCGTCTCTACACCTACATTGGCAGTGCTGGAGTGTAACTAAGAATATTTACTCAAGTACTGTACTTATGTACAAATTAGAGGTATTTGTACTTTACTTGAGTATTTTCTTTTCATGCCACGTTCTACTTCTACTCTACGATATCTCAGAGGGAGATATTTTACTTTTTACTTCACTGCATTTATTTAACAGCTTCAGTTACTAGTTACATTACAAATTACAAACAAAACATATGAAGAGTTAAAAAAGTTTGTAGTTTATTTTCTTCCAGTTCTTTGTGTTAAGGTGACCATTGTTGGATAGGGGTTGGGTTGAAGTTTTGGGCAGCGGGTGGAGTGGAAAGTGTTCAGTATCCTTGCCTGATGAAGAAACTGTTCCTCAGTCTGGTGGAGCAATCACAGAGGCTCCAGTACCTTCTCCTGGATGGTAAGAGACTGCAGTGCCATATATGTCCTGGAGGAAATTCATTGACCAGGAGAGATCCTCTCCACAGTAGAGCCATTGATGTTCAGCTGGGGGGTGTTGGGGTGTTCTCCTGAAGTCAAAGACAATCTCTTTGTTTTCCCCACATTTAAGAAGAGATCTTGACATTAAAGTATTTCTGATTCTGAAAGCAGTTCACACGTTACATCAGCGGGGCGGTAGCGAGCTGCTGAAGTTTAATAGCTGCCAAAAAGTAAACAAAAGAAGAAGACACACGCTCTCTGCAACAAGGTAGACTGGACTTTGTGCAAAGGATGTAATGAAGAACCGTTCAGAAAGGATTGCACGGCTGTAGAGTGTATTTTACAAGTCGTCTTTTATTTGTCACATCCAAGGATTGCGGGATTTTGGAGTAAACATGGCGGCTACGGAAACTGGCGACGGACACCAACTGGCCACCAATCAAGTCTCGTCTGTCCAAGTTGCTGGCGCGGTAATTTTTTGCACGTTGTTACGACTCTAACTTATGCATTCCTTACAGCGTTGCTATGTGCTCATGTTTGTATATATAACAGTTAGCATAACCCAAAGTAGTGAGTTAATTAGCAGAGTGGTTAGTTATTGTGGTGTGTGAGTATATTTAAAGATACAGGCTAGCTAACCTTAGCGTGCTAATGGTCAGGCACAGAGGTGTGCGGATATGTAAGCAAGCTAACGTTAGCCTTAGCTTAGCAAGCGGTGAGCTAAATCTCTTGTTTACAGGTCATGCAGTTAGCTAGCACATCATCATACCATGGTTGATCAAAACGACGAGGCTCGGACAAGACAACTTAGGTTGTAGCTGATGCCTAAACAGCTGTGCAGCTGTAGCGCTCGTTGTTTACATGTGAAGAGCAGTACTGCTGTATCAGCAACAAGCTAACGTAAGTTGTTATGTCGTGCTGGTTTCATGGGATTAAAACGCGGAGAAATAACGCGTATGCTAATGTCAGTTTTTCATGCTAATGTCAGTTTTAGTTTTATTATGACTTTAGCTCTTTTTATGCATGCACGACGCTCACATGTAATATAACGTAGCTTCATTGTAAAGTTAAGTAGCCTAGATGTTCTGCACGGGCACACTGCAGGATTTGGTTTTGCGATGGAGTCCATATTGGAATGCAAAATGAGCCTTAAACCAGCCCATTCAGTAAAAACAAAAACTTTATTGCCTCAAAGATAACTTTCTTTCACTATCAGTGGTAATATTGCGGCACCGGCTGTTTTATCAGTTAATTATTCGATATCTATTCCAGCTTTATTCAGTTGGTATTCTTTACTGTCCGCGAAACAGACACAGAGGTGGCATCTATTCTTACTAAAATGGAAAGAGTCTGTTTACACCAGGCATTAAAGGGATCCGGGCTTCTGAAAGGGTCAGCAGCAAGGCCTGGTTCTTCCAATGTCTCTCAATATTCTCTCTTGCCTCGCTGAGATAAAAGCCTGGACGTCTAATAACTTTCTTCAGTTAAACAACACAAAATCAGAAATAATTGTTTTTACTCCCATCGGAACCAGCACTAGCTACCTCAAAAACCTCACCACTAGACTGGGTGTCTTCTCAGATAAAATTCAGAAAGAAGCTTGTAACTCGCACTAAGAGGAGTGACCTCATCACACCAATTCTCAACCGCCCTTCACTGGTTACTTGAGTTTTTGAATTGATTTTAAGATTTTACTACTTGTTTTTAAGGCCCTGAATGGCCAGGCTCCTGGCTGCATGTGTGATTTGTTAACTCCCTACAAGCCAGACCGATGCCTGAGATCCTCTGGCAAGGCTCAACTAATGGTTCCAAAGTCTCGCCTTGTCACTAAAGGTGACTGAGCCTTTGCTTTCGGGCCCCTCAGTTGTGAAACTCACTGCCCAGAGATCTCAGGCAGGCAAACTCAGTGGCCTCTTTAAATCTCTTCTCAAGTCTCACTTTTATCGTTTGGAGATTTGGTTAACATTATATTATTACTGTTATTGTATTGTCTAATGCTGATTTTATTGTTGATTTTTAATTTATTTTAATTCATTTATATTTTTGCATCTGGATCATGTTTGTTTTACTGTACAGCACTTTGTAACTTGGTTTTGAAAAGTGCTATACAAATAAAGTTATTATAAGAAAGAGACTGGGCAAAAATGGCCTGCATGGCAGAGTTCCAAGATGAAAACCACTGCTGAGCAAAAAGAACATAAAGTTCTTCATCTTAGTTTCGCCAGAAAACATCTTCATGATCCCCAAGACTTTTGGGAAAATATTCTCTGGACTGACAAGACAAAAGTTGAACTTTTTGGAAGATTGTGTCCCAGTTACATCTGGAGTAAAAGTAACAGCATTTCAGAAAAGGAACATCATACCAACAGTAAAATATAGTGGTGGCAGTGTGATGGTCTGGGGCTGTTTTGCTGCTTCAGGACCTGGACCTGCTGTGGTAAATGGAACTGTATATTCTGCTGTCTGCCAAAAAATCCTGAAGGACAATGTCCGGCCATCTGTTCATGACCTCAAGCTGAAGCGCACCTGGGTTCTGCAGCAGGACAATAATCCAAAACACACCAGCAAATCCACCTCTGAATGTCTTAAGAACAAAATGAAGACTTTGGAGTCTGAGACTTTGGAAAGTCCTGACCTGAATCTGATTGAGATGCTGTGGCATGAAAAAAGAGGTTGAGGCTTGAAAACCATCCACTGTGGCTGAATTACAACAATTCTGCAAAGATGAGTGGCCAGAAATCCTCCACAGCGCTGTAAAAGACTCATTGCCAGTTATTGCAAACATTTCATTGCAGTTGTTGCTGCTAAGAGTGACCCCACCAGTTATTAGGTTTAGGGGGAAATCACTTTTTCACACAGGGCCATGTAGGTTTGGATTTTCCCCCTTAATAATTAAAACCTTCATTTAAAAACAAAATTTTGTGTTTACTTGTTATCTTTGTCTAATCTTTCAATTTGTTTGATCTGAAACATTTCAGTGTGACAGAAAAACAAGAAATCAGGAAGGGGAAAAACACTTTTTCACACCACTGTATATCTAAGGGAGAAGAAGAAACTCAGCACAGTGGAACACAGAACCCCCCTCTCCAATCTAGCGTTTGGCGGTGTGATTGTGGGGGAAAAAAAATCTAAGTTGTGGATAGTGTCTCTGCAGTGGACAGATGTAGTTTAGCGAGAGCCTGGAGGTCAACGTACCAATATTTGCTCCCTCTAGCCGCCGCTTCTTGTGATCAACACGCTCTCCTTGTTCTGTTTTACTAGTTATTGTCATAAATATGGTTTATTGTTTAACTTTGTTCAAGTTGAGAAATACACAATTCAGAATGTCAGTATTTTGTGCATTTTCCTTGATAATCAAGCAGAGAGACCATTTGTTCTGTTACGACTGTATCACAATATTGTCCACAATAATCACAATATGACTTTTTCTCCAAATCACGCAGCCCTATTTTGCAACATAGCTGTCATGTTCAACATATGGTTGTATTAAATTGCACTTTATGCTGGACTACCTTGCAAAATTAAAAACTTAAAATAATTTACAGAATGTTAATTAATATTGTCTTACACAGGTAACGGAGGGGACGGACGGAGAGTCCATGGAAGCTGTTTCAGAGCCAGGATCATCAGGGGATGTTGGAGACCCAATTCTTGTTAGCGGGGCTTCTCCTAGACTCTCTGAAAATGGAGGGGAGAATAACTTTGTTGCTGAAAAAGATGGTGAAAGTCAAGAAACGGAGGCAGCTGTGGTCCCTAGTCCTGTATCTGCATCCCCTCTAAATCTATCCCCGTCACAGATGTCTTTGTCGACAGAAGAGACAGTCAGCACAGTTTTGGTTCAAGGTGGTGAGACAGGTAGCACCTCAGAGTCTGAAAAGAGTGTACTGAGGTAAAACTGAGGAAGAGTTTGAGGTAAAGAAGAAAATGTGGGAGCAAAGGACAACAGCGTAGAGGAAAGTCCCACAGGACCTGATGTCAGTGAGAACTCAAACATAGATGAGACTCTGATTGCAAGAATGAGATAAACACAGATGAAAAGATGGACCCAGACATTGATGCTAAGGAGGACATTGACACTGAACGGGAGTCTCTTGGCTGTAAATTGAGGGTTTCTACAGCGGACGACCTCGATGAGATGATGGACATTGGGACAGTGGATCAGGTGGAACAGGAAGCTCAGATGAAAGAGGAGGAGGAGCAGAATAGTTTGATGGAAGAGGACAGCAGCCCGTCACCTGTCATTTCAAATACAGGTAAAGTAAAACAGGAGTTTTTCTTCTCAATGAGTTAATCACTCAGTTTTTGGGTTAAAGATTCAGAGAAACGATCTCAACCAACGGGTGTAAAAAGGGCTGCTTGATATGGTCTCATGCCACGGGATCTCCCAAGATTAGGAAGTGACTCTTGCAATCGACACTTTTAACATGCTCACACACCTATTTGTGAATCTTCTCCATCCAGCTAACGTATATGCCGTGATAGTAATCAGGTGAACCGTCCTCTCGGGCTGTGAGTCGCAGCAAGTTTGTGATGGAGTGGTAATGTAACTGGTAGAGTTTTGCAATATAAACGTCTTCTGTTTGGGACGTGAACTATACTTTACTGGAGATGCTTGTGTGTGAATTTTTGGTGAGATTTCAGCCTGATCATAATTGTTTTCACTTAGTTCACCTCATTGTGTCATCCAGTGCAGTCCCAAACGGAGTTTTGTTTCTGTCAGATGGCCTGAAGAGGATGCTACCGTATCGGCAGAGCAATTATGTAATGCACAGCAGAGTATAGGACTTTTAAAACATAATGAATTCTCCTTAAATGGTGATGTTAGTTGATTAATTAAATAGATTTTGAATGTTGAACGTTTTGAACAGGAGCAGAAAACCTGCTGAAACAAAGGAACTTTTATTAAAGTCGAAGTATTTATAGCTCCATCAAATTAATTAATTTATCATTGAGGGTGAAAATCTGGCATAATCAAAAAGAGGTTACTTTGCCAAACAGAGGAGGGAACTAAATCAAGCCTGCGAGTGTGCTGACTCTGCAGGACGATATTACATGAGAAAAGATGATCTACAGGAAAAACATATCTTAAAGCCTGAGAGCTGCACTGTATTATATTCTGTTATATTTTTATATTTTGAATTGTCACCTGCCACCTGAATTTTGTGTTTTCCTTTGTATCAATTAAAACATTTCCAACATAAATTGAGGCACAAAAGGCAGAAATTGCATCAAACACGCCAAAGTTTGGCTTAGCTTCACTAAAAAACACCTGCAGTAAGGATATTTTGTGCAATGGAGGAAGCACCACCAATATGACGAGATTGTGGTGAAGGGGTTGGAATAGATCAAATTAAAACAATATCCGCCCCTATCGCCTACACAGTCACCAAATCCTGCTTTTCCTGTTGAGATATTTTCTTGAAAGCACTGCTCTATGGAGTCACACTATTTTTTTTTTTTTCTTATTTCCCGAACAGCCTCAGAGGCAGAGCACAGTAACTCTGTTAAGGAGGAAACTGATGTGAAACCCACTGTGTCACCACCACCCGCAGAGGAGGACGTCAAAGTGGCTGTAGAGTCGATGCAGTCCAGCTCATCTCCATCGTCTGAAGCCACGACTAGTGCAGGTGAGTGACTTCAGAGCAATGTTGCGTGGTGTGAAGTAAAAATGAAAAGCCAACAGTGTGTAATTAACATGAAATTCTGATCTCACTTGCACAATTTTACCCACCAGACAAGTTTTTCAGCTCCCTTAAGGAGTCTTATAAGCTCTTGAAATGGCTTAGACAAACCTACCAGCATTGGCACTTTTGACAAGTACACGTCTCATCATTAAATGCTGGGATGTATACTTCCGTACTATATAAAGTATTATCTAATCCAGGACACTAGAAATCAGAAATCAAACTGTCTGGTTATGATTAAATTTTGATTTTGCTCAAATTTCTGGCTGTGATCTTATCTAGTTATTTGTACGCCACTGCTGCAATGGGTGATTTGTTTTCTGCATATATGTATTTTCTTTATTACCTGCTTTGCACCCGTATTCACATGTTGCTCATGTTGCTGTAGGAAGGAACAGCTCATCTCCTGCCACCATGATGAACGGGTTGAAAGTAGTTAAGCTATCGGACAATGTAAGTATAAGAAAGATCTACTTTAGTGTGGAAATTAAAACAGGCTAGAGTCAAATGGGCAGGACAATTAAAAACAATAACAATAATTATCACAATATATTTTTTCAATAACAATATAACAGATGTTCAATAAATATTAAAGAAATGTTTGTTTATTTTGTTGAGGAAAAGGATTGAAAAAGCTTTTACTTAATTTTACTCGTGTATATTTGTTGACAAGATTTTATTATAATTGTTTTGAATGTTCTGCCTCAGATTTGTTAAGTTGGCCACTGTTTGGCCTCAAGTGTTGACCATAAAGGAGAGTTTAAACCACAATTAACCATCAGGTCTCTTCAGCTTTCACTCAGGGAAAAAAATCAGCCTTTAAACTCGAAAGAAATAACGATTGTATACTTATTGTGATGATTATCGATATTGAAAGATATGAAACTTTTATTGTGATAACATTTATGGCCATATCGTCCAACCTTAGCGTTAAAGCCGTTTGTACATTTCTGCGCTACTTTCAAATATTTCTAGCTTTAATGTCCTTTAGGGCTTTTAAGTTTTGGATTCTAATCTAAACAACAACAATTTTGTTTTCTTTCTGTTTGTTACTGTTGTAGAAAAGTTTACATTCTGCCAATCAGCCTGTCAAGTCATCTCCTTCACCACCTTTGGTCAAGGTGAAGGATGAACCTGTAGACGAAGAGTACGAGCATGCTCTAATATCCTCGACATCTACAGCTAGCGTGAAAGATGAGCCCAACACTGCAAAGGTAGGACAAACACATCTTTTCAGAAGGATTTTAAAAGTTAAGCCCCTTTCAGAAATCCAACGGCAATTTAACATCTTGGTCACATCTCTAAATAAGTACCATGGTGACTTTTACATCAAAGTCACAACTGCAATCTCACTCAACCTGATCTAGTAACATTTATTATAAATGGGCATGACGTTACTTCCTTATAAGATCACTGTAATAAATGATCTCCAAATTATCTCATTTGTCAACTCTTATGCATGAAGAAATTAAGGTTTGTGTTTTTTTTTTTTTTTTTTTTTTTTTTTTTAAAAACACTTTTAACAACCATCGTAATAATCTGACCAAATGTATTTTTAATTTTCATTGATGTCATTTGATCTGTCAGGTTTTGGAGAGGAGCATTAAGTATTACAGACAGCTTTATAAAGGACATTTCTCATCATTCAATTTGTTTGACATGGTGCCACAAGATGACCAGTGCTCACTTTATCAGCATCTTTATCTTATAACATCCTTGACATTTTTAATTTCCAGGTATTCATTTATTCTAACTCAGTGAACGGTACTCACTCAATTCAACAAGAACATCTGTTGTTGCTAATATGTGAACGCCTAGTCCTTGAATATATTATGACCCCCTCCCATATATCCAGATTAAATATTCCCTACTATACCAGATCTTCAGGCAAGATTTGGTGGATCAGGAATCACTGCATCATCGCTGACCTCATTGTTCTGTTATTGATAGGAGGACTTAAGGATCGGCTCGGTCTTCTCTGTGACCCCAGCTGCTGAAACACTGCCCGTCGTCAGCCCCTCGGCGTTGCACATGTCCTGTTCCAATTGCAAGAAGAGCCTGATGAAAGGACAGACAGCGTTCCAGAGGAAGGCTCCCCAGCACTCTTCTGCTCCACTGCCTGCCTCACCACATCTCTCACTACAGTCAAAGGAGTCACAAAGACCTGCCACAACTGCCAAAAGTGAGTTAACAAAAAACAAAGTCACCTTTCCATACCAGTGACTGTTGAGAGAGTTAATATGGAATTTTCTGTGAAGAGGAAAAATACTATATACTGGTAAATGAACCATAACGTGGACGACTGTTTTAAAGCCTCAAATTTTGCAATTTTAGATGTCGCCAGCTTAGGTTTTTTGGAAGCAGAAGTGACCGTATTTGGACAAGAGTGGCGCTAGCTAGCTTGGCTGCTAATGTGCATCAGCAATTCAAATTAACTGTGATAATAATTGGGATGCTTATTTTGGTTCGCTTAAAACAAAATGTACCTAAGGGAAAGTTAAATGTGGATACAATTCGCCTCTGTCTTGATTGACAGCCTGCCACTTGTCAATCACAAGGTAGCCACGCCCCCCAAAATCCCTGCTTTATCATCTATTTTACTCTTAATGGGACCATAATTTACTAAATGCTGTATTGAAGAAGGCTTGAAACTAGCAACTGAGACCACAAATCCATAAGGATTTACTGAGGTAATAAATCTGGTGAGAAGTAGGGCAATTTTCGCATTGACTACAATGGAGAGAAATTGACCTCTGCTGTCATTAGAAAGAATGCTGCTCAAGCACTTTTCAGACCCAGAGGTTCCTGCTTGAGATTAATTTTAGAATCTTAATTGTGGTCATGTCCCAAACTGACAATTACTCTGGGAATTGGATCTTGTATTGATCTTATCTCTTCTGATCTTCCAGGTTGATATTCCGGCCTCAGGACGTCATTCTGGCTCCAGATGCTAAAGGAGCCATGAAGGAATTCTGCAGCCAGACCTGCCTGACCTCTTTCAACTACAAGAAAAACATCAATGTCAAAAAACCACCGCAACCAATAGCACCACAGTCACTCTGCAGCATGTGTACCAGATACTGCTTGTAAGTCAAAACAGAATAAGGCTGCAACTAATGATGATAATCATTGTCTATTAACCTGACAGTTACTTTCTTGGTGACTTTTTAATAATTTTGTCTATAAAATGTGAAAGAATAGTGAAAAATCCCCCATTATTTTAATTATATTTCAAAAGGTGATGTCTTCAGTCTCTAGATTTGTCTGACCAACATGCCCAAAACCTGAAGATGTTCAGTTGAGATGCATATTAATTTTTCTCGATCGACAAATGAATAATAGTAAATCCAGCCATAAACAAATAAAGAAAAAATGTTTTTCAATAAAAGTATTCGCATCAGAATACATTTTTTTCTGGGCTGATAGCCAGTTTATCAGGACATATAGGCCTGTTTTGGTTTTGGGATTTTCCTGTGAAATTATTCAGCATATAACAGTAAGAACCTTTTACCTCGATTCCCCTATAAACTACACTTTCGTAAATGAAAGGATAATCTCTGAAATAACCACTGTTCTTTTGTCGTCTCTTCTGCAGAGCAAACATGAGTGGTCCTGAGCGGTGCTGTCCACAGATCTGCAGTGACGCCTGCTTTAACCGTTTCCGCACAGTGAACAACCTGTCCTTGGCCGGCTGCGTGAACTGCGGCTCCTACTGCCACAGCAAACCGCTCATGCTGAAGGTGGAAGACGGCAACAAAACTCTGTGCAATGCAGAGTGTCTGGCCAAGTACAAAGAGGTATGAAAATTGGCAGTAAAAAGAAAACAAAACGCACTAATTTGAGTCAGACTGGTGCAGATGGCACCCAGCTGATGGCTCGGGTGTCATAAAACGTGACCTGCTCCTTTTGAAGAATGTCAGCTAAAACTGTAAAATATATAAGGGAGAGATGTCCTTTTGTTATGTGCCTTAAGCCAAGCAGACACTGTACTGATTAAAGCCTGATACATTTTAGAGTCGAGACAAATTTCTGCCAAATCAGATGTCATTTAAGTGATGACTCTGAATGTAATGATCTGGCTCTCGAATGATCAGATGGATCAAACATTTTGGTCAGCTATCTTACAGTTTGAACAGCTGCGCGGTCCGATTTCCCTCATGGCTACCGTCTATAGTTCCATTTTAAAGTAGTGGCTTAATTTAATATTACTGGAGTCGTATTTAGATGCTGTAGCTACAGTTCTAGTCTTGACTGTGCTGTGAACTTGACACCATGTTGTCTTGGTCTTCTTTCTTATTTTCTTCTTACTTTCTGTTCATAGTTGAGATGCACAAAGTAAGGCTGCCTTTCTTTTTGTCAACACTGTTGAGGATGCAGTCTGTCTGTTTGAATAATCTTTATTGCAATTGACAACGAACATAACCTGAGTGTGAACTCAAGGTCAGTTATTATAATTATTCAGTTTAAAAGTTGCATATTCTGGCCGTGCACAAAGGCTGATTAGAAAATGTGTAGCGTGAGTTAACACAATGTACAAGAGTATTAAACATCTCTAGTGTCTGTCAATTTCTTACTTTACATTCTGTCTTTTTTAAAAATTTTTTTATCTCATAATAGAAAACCAAGACAACCGTGCCTTGTCTGATGTGTCGCACTACCCGGTTGCTGGCAGAAATGGTTGAAATCAAAAACAGCGATGATTCTGTGAACCTCTTCTGTAGCAGCAGTTGTGTGATGGCATTCAAGGTCCAGACTGTCAGTGCGTCAGGTACTGGACGAGATTCCTTCATTTTAGCATTTAATACTGCAGTCTTAAAAAAAAACAAAAACAAAAAAAAACGACTAAAAATTAAAAACTTTTCCACAGGTACACGTTTGAATTGTGATAATTGTGGGAAAAACACCGTACCGGCCTACCACCTGGCCATGTCTGATACCTCCATCAGGAACTTCTGCACTCTACCTTGTGTCATGGCTTTTCAGGTAATGAGGTTTACTGACTGTAAGGGTCAGGTTATGCTCAATTTGAACTAGTTACATAAGACGTCTTGTCCTCAAAGACATTTGTAGTTTCTCCACCTGGTTGTTCAAATAAAAAGTGAAATTTGTGGTGTGAAGAATGGTAAAGAGAGAGCTCACACCGTGGCCCCTTTCTCGCCTCCACATAACTGACCAATCAAGGTGTGAAGTAGGTTCGAAGATTGGTTTATTAAATTATGTCATGTGCTTGTGCTTTTTCTCAATTTATAGATAGTTTTTGTTTGACTAAAGACATTATTACTGATGGTATTTCTCCAATACACCTTATCTACAAATGAGTCATTCACTCTCTGCTCAGTTGGTGTCAGTTCAGCAGAGTTCAACTCCTAAATCAGCCTATATATGTAAATGAAAAGTGAAAACATCAGATTTCCACACAGTCAGAGAAATTGAAAGTGTGCCTCCTGCTCATATTTCAGTTATAAAATCCTAGTGCACTGAGGCACGTCTCTCCTGCTGTCAGTCACACTGTACCAGGTACTGGTTCAGAAGTAGTTTAATTGACAGTCAGCAACGGAGCTGAGAGCAGTGTTTCCCTTAACATTGATTTATTAGTACAGACCCGCATAAGTATCAGGACTGACTGTCACATAGTGATTGTCTATTTTTTTTTTTTTCTTTACTTTTTAAATGGGTGATATCTTTTTTTCATTGATTCGCTCAGCCCCTCCCTGCCTCTCTCATACACACACACACACACACACACACACACACACACTCACTTACAACAGATTTGATCAACGCTATCGACGTTAGCATGCTGTATGTAGCTGCTAGTCAATATCGACTGCTTGTACAATTGGATACTGTTGATGTTAATAGTTCTCTGACGCTGATTGATAAAATGTGAGTCGACTCTGCGTCTTATGACAACTTGAGTCATCGACCTTTAGGGGGCTGACCTTACAAATGCAGCTCAAATCAAAGTGGTTGTTAAGTCACCCTGTGTGGTTCGATAGTCGACACTGTGGAGTCCTTCCTCTTCTTTGGCACCATCATCTCCCAGGAACTCAAGTGGTAGCTGAGGAAGTTTTGTCATTTAAATAACAACCATATTGTACAAATATGGTTGTTATATTATATGTATATTATTCATTTATTTTTTATATTGTCAGTTTTATATTTAAGATTCTTCACCTGCAGTACTTACTGTCTCATATTTTCTACCAACTATGTTTATTGTTATGCACAAAGATACCAAAGCTAATTTCTTGTGTGTGTGTAAACCTACTTGGCAATAAAGCTGATTCAGATTCTGAAGTATTCATTTGTGGAGGACACACACTTTGTGTTTTGCTGTTTTAATTTAATTTATTTTTAATTTTAATAATCTCAGTATTGTTGTTTACTCTACAGTAGAAATGAACCTTTCTCGTACTGGTTTCACTCAAGATTCTTGTATTGTTTTTTGTGTGTCATAGGACAAGTTCAAGAAGTCCCAGAAACAGGTGAACGTTTTTACCAAGTTGCCAGCTGGATCTGAGGTTCAGGCTGTTACTCCTACCCAACCTCAGCAAGACGCACCCAAAGGACCCCAGAAACTAAACTGCTCCCAGTGTGCCCGCAGCATAACTTTTAAACCCGAGCTCATCCAGATCAAGGTAAGTTGTGTGTGGGTTTAAAACAAGATTTTTGTCTCTCAGCCTAAACTGTGGGTTATATTCCCAAGACAGGCAGTTGGAGTTAAACCTTCAGTGTTGCATAAATAACTGGTCAGAGTGATTGGAGACACTTCAGACTGATGGCTACAGATTTAGGTCTTTGATCTTTGGTTTAATTTATCCAAAACATTTTGATATGACTCTAAAATACATAAAAAAGGATAAAGTCCTGGACTACACTCAGTTGCCAGTTTATTAGGTACACCTAGTCTAATGTAACAGTCCTGCAATAAAGTCTACCTTCATAACGGTCTTTGTGCAAAAGCCTTGTTGCCCATGCTCAGATGAGGAGAAGTGTGAATGTTGGGGAGCGCACTGACCCGTGCAGTTGCCAGCACTTTCTTCAGAACAGCGACAGACAGTTCAGTTAAGCTCAGCAGGGACAATTTACCCCTTTTAACTTCTACCTTGTGATTTGTGTGTGTGAATGAATTAGGCAAGAATCTACCTTATGTTTACATGTAACCTTCATGAACATAGGATTTATTACAGGACTCTTGTATATTAGACTGCATTAGATCAGAAGTTCTTAAAGTGGGGTCCGGGATCCCCAGGGCTACTTGAGTGGGTCCCCAGCAAAAGGGGAATCCTATCAGGTGGGTAATCCTGGGACAAAATTAAATGGGGGTCCATGGTCTAATTTGTGTCAGTTTAGGGGTCCTTGACATGAAACGGTTTGAGAACCACTGCATTAGATTAAGCTAGGTGTACCTAATAAACTGGTAACTGAGTGTCTTTCCATTGTTGTTGCTGGAGTTTTCATTGAACAACAACCTTTCAGTGTCAGTCGTTAAAAAATAGTAGAGAAAAAGAACTAAATAAACTAGAGAATTGATTAAAGATATTCACATTAGTAGCCTTGTTAGTTGATAAAATGTTACGTGCACTCTCTGACATATCTGTGCGTGATTCTCTGTGTGCAGGACAAGGTTGTTTTCGTGTGTAACATGGACTGTGCCCAGGAGTTCAAGAAAGCCAACTTTGTGACAAGCCTGTGTGAATACTGTAAGATTGAAAAGATCACCAGAGACGCCAAGAGAATCAACAACAAAGACTGTTTCTTCTGCAGCGACGGTAAGGAGATAGTTTGATATGACGGGGTTTTGTATCTTGGTTTGTGAAATGTCTTACTTCTCCTCGGCAGAGCTACACATGAAATTTGCATATATATTTATTTACAAGTTCTTCTGTTCCCTTTTTTGCACAACACCTTTGTATCTTGAAGAGGCGTGAAACTGCACTGTCCCTGAGTCTCTCTTCTCTCCTCCCAGGCTGTAAGCTCCTCTTTCGACATGACCTGACTAAAAACTGGGGGAGACACTGTCACTCCTGCGTCTACTGCCATTGTGTGTCCAGAAGCTGGTGACAGCACAGTATGGAGGCTCGACTGAGGAGTTCTGCTCTGAGGAGTGCAGGTCCAAATACACCATGCTCTTCTGCCATGTAAGCAAGCCTCAGTGCATATATTAAAATCGTAGTTGCACTAAAAATGGCGATGATCCCGCTCTGCCATAGCTAAACGTTTACTTGTTGTTTTGTCTCAGGTTGCAAAGTGTGACACCTGCGGCCGCAAAGGGAAACTGAAGCAGAGTCTTCCCATGCTGGGAGAGGTCAAACACTTCTGTGACCTGCTTTGTCTGCTTCAGTTCTGCTGCGATAAAGTGGCTTCGCAGGGCGAGGTTCTCAGAGGTGCGAATTATTGTTGCCATTTCTCTTTATAATTTTTTCTGTGTTGTGGTTTCAATCCTGATTTTATAATTATACAGTTAAGAAATTGTTCCGTAATAGACCCCCTGACTCCTCTGTGTTCCTGGTGTTTGTACTACAGAAACAGGGGAGCCCACACCTGTCATCGCCAATGTCATCTCGCTTGCAGGCACTCCAACAGGGAAATCCAATGCTTCTGACATATCTGCCCAGCAAAGTACAAACCAAAAGAACACACACAGATGCAATTATTATGTACTATATGTCAAACATCTTGCCGGTGTTATTGTTGAGGTATCATATTTTGTCATTGTCTCCACAGGCACAGTCTCTGTCTTTCAATCAAAGAAGACTGGACATGTAAGTTGGCGTTTATGTATTTTATATACAGTAAGATTCATTATTAATGTATACATTTCTGCTTTGTGAGGCAGTGCTTTACATTCGACTAGGCTCAAAGAAACTAGTCAAATGCAGGACGACAGAAAATCACGCATATGGGAATGCTTAAGTTTACGGGCCTATATTGTCTCTGCCCTTCATTGGGGCTCAAGTAGATCTGACTATATTACATTTTTGTTTCATTAATTTAATGTGTTGCTTAGATGTAATCTGGTGTGTAGGACAATGTTAGCCTTATCCCTTCAGCTGCAGCGGCTGTGTGGCTGTGTGCATATTGAGATTAAAAGCTTTGGGCACTGAATAAGTGGTCGTTCGACTCACTTTCAAGAACTTCTCGTCACTTCTAAAATCCCACTGATTTATTAAACGCACTCAAACATTTTCCAAACATTGCTCTAAATTAACTTCATAAAGCAACAAAATGAAAAATCCATTCATAGAAAGTGCTCCAATTGTGTTCGAAAGACTCTATTTTAACCACGACTTCAGTTCAACATTTACTGAAAACTCACCCGCATAACCTGCGCGATGCCCAAATGGCAAAAGGTGGAAGTACATTGCGACAACCTGCAACTGCCAGGTTGCATCGCCTGTAAACGCCCACTTCTAATCGTGACCAGAGTCATTAAAGTTTCTACTTTAAGTTATAATAAATAAGAAAATCTTAATTTGAATACCAAAATATATGCTCGTCATATTTAGCATAACAAAAAAGAACAATATTTTATTTTATTTTTTTTATGGCTCTGACAGGATGTGTGAAACATACTTGGAAGCAAATAAGAAGTAAATATAAAAACATATTTTAAAGCGGTAAGAAAGTAGGTTTACTGTCATGTCAAGTACAAGGCTTCGGTGCTTTAGTCAGTCTTGAATACAAAGTATTTCCACATCACCCACAGCATACGTAAAAGTATAAAAAACAGTCCAGTCATCCCATCGTCATTTTCCAAGAGAACTAATTGGTCAGGAGGTGGTGCTTTTATGGCATTGATCACCAAAGCAGGTTATCCAATCAGCATTACCATTGTTATGTACCCTGGTAAGAAATTAACCTTGTTGTAAGACTGAGAACCCAGGGTTAAACCTGAATGTTCCTCGCTAAGGTCAAATCCAGCTTCGTAGCACAGGCCTCTGAACTGTTTTATGTGAAATATGACCAAGCTGTCTGTTCGTTTGTTTGCAATTACTTAAAAATCAATAAAGAAGTTCACAAAAACATGTATTGCACAGTACAACAGAAGGAAGCACATTTATTTTACAAAACGATGCTGTGGGATGTGTAAAAACACTTAGCCAGCCCAAGTTTAACTCAAATTTGGGATCAAGATGACAAGAGGACAATTGACATCAACAAAACAATGGAACTTTGGTTCACGATCAGTCGGTACATATTATTCTGTTTTTTGTTTGTCCTTCAGATCAGTATTCAGACAGATCCAGTGAAAACTTATCCTCCTCCTGGCCCCAAAATCCTGAAGAACAAGGCTCTGCTCTGTAGACCGCTGGTGCAGAACAAAGGGGTCTCCTGTAAAACACAGACAGCCGATGTTGAAGCACAGACAGGTAAAAGCGACACACAGACACCGTGCTTCTGTGGTAACAGCATCTGTGCTCTACAGCTGTCTGTTAACCTGCAGGGGCAGGACAGACTAACACACTAATCGCAGATGACATTGCTGGTTTTTGTATTTGATATTCGATCATCGTTTCTATATTGATATAGTGAGTTTGTCCTATTTCAGTTTCAGTTTTTCAGTTCTGTTTTCCCCTACTCATAAAGGGATATACTCAGCATTCTTGGAAGTTTTAGTTCTTTGACAAGCAAATAGAATAATTCATAACATTAGTTGGCAATATGACCCAATAAGATGTTTGTGTGTTTTGTTTTTTTTTCAATTTTTTTATGTGATGGGTTTTTTCCCAGCAAATACCAAGCTATGTGGTGGTCTTGCATTTGTTCTCCACTCAAGTTTGAAGCTCAGTCCTATCTTAAGTCACGGATTTGAACAACTTTTGAATGTGCTGGCTCTAAATGTTTGTGTCTATATCCAGACTAAATACTTATACGTAAGTGAGGACACTATCCTTGCTCATATTGAAGCATTTAGTAAATCATCACAATTTAAGAACTCCCTTCCTTTTTCTCCCCCCTCTCTGTAGATGATGCTTTCCCTAAAATCATGGTTGTGCCTATCCCAGTGCCGGTATATGTTCCTGTACCCATGAACATGTACAGCCAGTGTACACCCAGACCTGTGGGCCTGCCAGTACCGGTACGTCAAACGCACTACAACCAACTCTGGCTTTAGTGTTTGTGTGAACAGTTCCTAAAGTGAAGGATTACAAAATGAAAACTGTATATTAGACAACACAACACTCTGAAACAGTTAACATTCAGTGTATTCGTCCTCATTAAATTCTTACTCTGTCCACTACAGCTGCCTGTGCCCATGTTCCTTCCTGTGACAATGGACAGCGCTGAACGCATCGTAGAAACCATCCAGGAGATCAAAGAGAAGATACCGTCTGACCCCTTCGAGGCGGAGCTCATCCTCATGGCTGAGATGGTTGCAGAAGAAGAGGAGAAGAATGACAAACAGAAGAGAACAAAGGAGAAAGTGGTGGAGAAAGAGAGACAAGAAGCACCTGCAACATTTGGTAAGAGAAACAGAAATAATGGTTTTATAAAACTGGACAACAATCGAGAGTGCTGCTACAGTCAGTCAGCAAAGACGAGGGTAAAACACGTTTTTAGAGGTCTAAGAACGGGTGATTGGCGGCTGGCTAAGGAGATGGAGCGGGTTAGTCGGAAGGTTGGCTGTTCAATCCCCGGCTCCCCCAGACTGCATGTCAAAGTGTCCTTGAAAAGATACTGAATCCCCAATTTCCCCTGGTGGCTGTTTGACGTCAGTGTATAAATGTGTGTGAATGTTTGTTTCTGTTTGAGCATTTGGGCTCAGTGTATGTGTGTGAATTCAGATGTAGTGTAAAAGAGATTTAAGTGGTAGAAAAGACTAGAAAGGTGCTATACAAATACGGAGCATTTACCAATTAATGATCATGTCAACAATGAGCCAGTACTTCGATACTTACTGCATATTTCTAATGATTTTTAGTCAGTATAGCAAAGACCATCTTTTTAAAATGTTTTTATTCACTTCAGATTGCAGCCAGTCTGCTTTTTTCCACAGTTGTTTTAAATAATATTTTAATCATATGGTTATAAAATAATATGACAACCGGATGTACAGTCTCTTGTGTACTGCATATTAGGATTTTATCCATGACCTTTTACTTTTTCAATGTTACGTCAATTTCTTTCCCTCAAATGTCTTCAAGTTGTTTTTAATATATGTTTTTAATATGAGAAAAATGTTTTTCACCGCCTGACGAGTTCCCCTTGTGTATGTTTCACAGACCACGCCAGTAACTACAGTGACGACTTGGACACGGACGACTTGGCCAGTTTCCTCAACAACTGGGAGGAAGCATCTTCCGACACAGGTCTCAGGTCTCCCAGTCAACCGTTCGCCCCTGAGAAGCTCAACCCGATTCTAGACATTCCTGTGGGCATGTCCAGTGAGCCTTACGCCGAGCCCCCACCTCTAGCACCCCCTGCCATGGACATCGAAGCTGACTTCACTGTTGGTGAGCAGATGTACAGATTTGTTAAGTGCATGAAGGTTGTTTGAGTTTCATCTCCACCTTGACCTGTATTTAATAGGAGTTTAATTATACATTTTGTTTTGCATGTGCGGCCAGGAAAAAAAAAAGTCCTAAATGACATCAACAACCTCCAAACACTGGTTTGGTTTGGCGTGCTTGGTCTAATGTTTCATCTGGTGTCATTGCTAGAAACTCTGGAGAATATGGCTCGGCTCAGAGAGCATTCCCAGAGATCCCGAGCCCTCCGCCTGCTGTTCCACGACGACGACAAGCTCACAGGAAAGCCAGAGAAAAGAAGGTAAGTGCCTGGGAAAAGAAATAAGATGCTGCTTGTGCATTTAAAGATCTGATTGGTATTTGCCTACCATGTGCTCACATCACTTTGTCTCACAGTGGTCATATCCGTGACTCACCCTCCTCTGTGTCTCCACTTTGTCCAAGGGTCGTAAGTCACAACGAACATCTAAGGCAGCTGAAGCGTCGTCTCAAAGAGCTCCTTTCAACAAGGTTGTGCCTTTAGACGTGCCAAAACTGAAGAGTCAGTACGGCGTTGATGCCTGGAAGCGATGGATCCAGTGGAGGCAAACTCAACCCAACCTGGAGAAACCACGCTTTGGTTGTAAGTTTGGATATACAGTAAATACAACCACTAAAGCGGACTTTAAAAGTCCGGTTACTTGACCCAAGTTTACGAGCAGTAATTATTTGTTATGAAAGTGGAATGTTTTTATTGTTGTCACTGTGATATTCTTATGTTGTCTTGTGTGTCTTTGCACAGATTCTTTATATAAAGTTTGACATTGCACATCAAAAACAAATAAAGATTTCCTCATCTTGATTTCAGCCCGTCCCATGGAGTTGAAGGAGGACGTTCTTCGCTCTACTACTGCTGAGCTGAGCTATGGCCTCTGTTGCTTTATCACTGAGGTGAAACGACCGAATGGAGAGCCCTACTCCCCCGACAGCCTGTTCTACCTCTGCCTCGGCATTCAACAGGCAAGATATTTGTTATACACAACACATAAGTGGGGTCAGTGAACGGCCACAAGCAGTCAAGCCATGCCTGCAAAGTGCGCATGTTTTTTCCACTGCCCGGCACAGCAAGGTGAAGTTGTTAACCATGTTGGTGTGTTGTAGGTGTCGCCTGCAGCCCTTTTCTGCTCACTTTTTCTGTACCGAATAGCGCATAATATTTCCATATCTGGTTGATTAGACCTTTTGTTATTATAGAAGAGCAACGCTAATTTGCTGACACATTGTATTTCCTATAACTTTTCACAATAAAAGCATCCCACCATCTTCCATGAAAATTTTCCACTGGATAAGTTTTCATGTGAAGCTACAATAGCAGGAAAAGTTGGTACACACTAGCAGTAACATAACAGAGATCCAATATGGCTGAAAGTGATCACTAAACAGTAGAATAATGCTGATATGTGAAAGTACATACAGAACACAGGAGTGATATTAATCAGCAAAACACACAGTTTCGTGAAGACATGAAAAAAGTATGAGAGCTGACTACAGAGAGAAAACTGAGCTTTCTCTCCAGTTCCCGCACAGATACACAGGTTTAGCTACTGATGACACGGCTAAGGGGCGTGGACCATCACGGATTAGCTGTAGTTGGAGCCGAAACCAAGCAGAACCAAAGCAGCACGGCTCTGCTTGTTATCTTCTGCTGAGGCTGCAGTAGAAACACATCATCACAGCTTGACTTGGCACGGTGCAGTTAAAACAGACCCCCCTGGGTAAAAACCCTAAAAAAGATGGACAAACATCTCTGAACAGTCCCCATCATATCAAAATCAAACATACCGACTGTGAACATCACCACTTTTCACACATTCGCTCAAGTCCAAACTTGACAATGATTTTAACAGTAATAATTGGATGGCCAGCAATTGTGCTTTGCTCAAGTACAACTAACAAAATAATATATTGTAGGAAAAAATATGGCAGGTATTCTCATTGTAACCTTTTGTCTCTCTGTAGTACCTGTTTGAGAACGGTCGTGTGGAGAACATATTCATGGATCGGTTCTACAACAAGTTCTCCACTGAGTTCACTAATATGCTGAGAGTTTTCAAGCCCTCAGTCACATCAAGTGGTGAGTTATAAATGTTACATTTTGTTTCGTCAAATATTCAGTTTGTATTCTTGTCAGTTTCTGTTTTACACAAACATACCCACATTTTTCCAGATTTGAAACCGGTCCCTCTCCCTCTTTGCAGGTTATATCCATTCAAGGGTGGAGGAGGAGTTCCTGTGGGACTGTAAACAGTTGGGAGCGTACTCTCCCATGTCCTCCTCAACACTCTGCTCTTCTTCTGTTGCAAGTACTTTGGCTTCACCACGGTGGAGCAGCACCGCCAGCTGTCCTTCGCCCATGTCATGCGCTGCACCAAAACCAACCAGAACAACACCAAGACCACCTTCCTGCGCTTCTACCCCCCGATATCCATAAATGAGGCAGAGCCAGGTACCAAAGTGGCTGAGAGTTTGTTTGTTCCATACCAACATCTAACGTAATAACATAGACTTTAAAATATTAAAACACATCAACAGTCCTCTTACATTGGAATCCTCAAATTTGTATTTTAACCATCACAAATTCTTTGCTTTTATATAAATGGTTTTGAGGAAGTCAAGCAATTTACATGCAGAAATGTTTTGCAAAAGATCATTCACATTACCTGATTGTGTGCTGAAAAGCTGCACAAAATGATCATGAAACTTTTGGAGATATTGCAGAAAAATCTAAAAATCTGAACCATTAAATTTTACATAAAGAAAAAGCAATTGGCACCAAGGCCAGCATAAACTTCAAAATACATATGCAGCAGCACATTTGTGTAGTTTTGATTGAGAGTCCTGAACCTGATTAAAACCTGAATTTTTACCATAATGCATATAAGACAGTTTTAGTCTGCTGTTTTAAAAAAACACACACTGTAGACGGTAAATTCTCACAAGAGATAATTATTTCATTAATTTTCGATCTATTTGGTTTGTTGCAGAGCCGTCTGAGAAGGCAATAGGAAAGCCCCTTAGTGTTATTCCAAGTATAGTTTTCATTAATAATATATTTACCTGCAGTTCTGTGTTAAAAAGTGCTACCACAACATTTACCTGAAATAGATTTATAGTAGAAATGCTGTAAATGTATTTGTGTACTGTTTCCTCTTCAGATCCAGAGGTTCCGGCAAAGAAGCGTAAGGAGGAGGAGAGTAAAGACGATGTTCTGGAGATGATGGAGAACACAGAGAACCCTCTCCGCTGTCCAGTCAGACTGTACGAGTTCTACCTCTCCAAGTGGTGAGTATAGTACCACACTGAACTCTTAAATGTCTCGGCTGTTTGAAGTCATCTGCTTACTTCAACTCATTCTGTAATAAGGTGGCTGCTTAACTAGCTGTTGGAACTTGTCTTGGGCTGTAAAGGATATTGTTTGTATGATACTCTCATTTCCCGTATTGCCACTTTTTTAAAAACTGTAACTTTGCCCAAGCCTATGTGGGGTGGCTGTGGCTTCCCCCACCCTGCGTGTTGAAGTGTCCTTGGGCAAGACACTGTATCCAAATTGCTACCTTTCTGATGAGCAGGTGGTGTCTTCCTTCTGGCATCACACAGCCAGCCAGTCTGTGAATAGGGTGAATGTGACATGAAGACTAGAAAAGCACTATACAAGTACAGTCCATTTATTATTTATACCCACTGGCTTTTCTTCGACTGTCTTGTCCTACCAAGTTCCTTTTTAATGTTTCTATCATACACGTGAGACTAAACTGAAACTTAGTGCTGCACATTGGTCTCCTCAATCCCCTGGTTCCTATGTTGACATTAACAACTGTCTGCCATCCAGCTCGGAGTCGGTCAAGCAGCGCACCAACCTGTTCTACCTTCACCCCGAGCGCTGCTGCGTCCCCAACAGCCCCTTGTGGTTCTCCTCCACCCCTCTGGATGATAGCACCATGGAAGCCATGCTCATCCGCATCCTCACCGTCAGAGAGCTGCATCTAAAGACGAGGAAAGACGGAGGGACGGCGAAGCAGACTTCCAGTGACCCGCCATTTATACCTGACGAGGAGGACAATGGGGATTCAGAGTGATGAAATGAGCTTTATTGGTGCAACATCAGCTTGTGGTGTAAATGTTTGTAAATAAACTGAAATGTTCATTCAAAACATAGCCCAATAAACATCAATGGACGGAATAAATCTCACATACATAAATACAGTGTGCTTGAACTGCCAAGAAAGTCATACTTCCTAAACCACATTGATCAGGATTTAGAGATCTTCAAATGCAGTGTTTGTGTAGGTGAGATGCAAGACTCAGCTCAGCATTCGGACTTTTTACTTCTCCTCAGCAGGACACGTAGCTGTCCTTTGGTGTTTTATCCAGTGAATGGTTGCTTATCATGGCTACTTTTTTCCTTCCACGTGTTATGATTCGTTAAATTCCTGTGAAAGTTTTTTCGGGGTTATTTTGTTCTTGTTTGAGCTATAATGGGGAACATTTTTTTATTTCTGTTGGTGTCGGTGAGCAAATGTCCACCCCAGAAGACAAACGGAAACTGGGCTTTTTGTAATGTAGGTGTTCACTGGCAAATTAACAGTTTAGTTTCATCAATGCCATAATTTGGATTCAGTTTGTCAGTGAAACAGCCAATGCTTATTTCCAGACCCAATATTTTTACAGATTTTAATACCCTTTTAATACACTGTGGATTTTTCCTCCATTTCTGTGGGTAGAATTGCTTCTCCAAGTCACGGTAAAATGTACAAGATCAATTTACGCACAAACTTCCTTCAACACACATTGTGTGTTGTGCTCAACAGATTTAATCAATGCCATGATTTGGATTCAGTTTGTCAGTGAAAAAGCCCACGTTTATTTCCAGACCCAATACCTTTGCAGTTTTTAATACGCTGTGGATGGTTCCTTTATATCTATAGCTGGTGGAATTGCTGTTTGAGAGGCTTCTCCAACAAACCATGGCAAAATCTACAAGATCAATTCACACAAAAAACCTTGCTTCAACACACACTGCTCAACAGATAATTTTACTTTAAAGGTCTAGTCCTTCTCTGAACACACTGAATTGAGCAAAAGAATTTGAGGATTGAGGATTTTAGACATGCTATTTCATCCAAAGCGTCTTCTGAGACTTTGAGTGTTTTGCATAACCACCAGGTATTGTATAAAAAAAGAAAGTTAAATACTGTCCCTTCATGTATGTCTTGGTTATATTAACCCCAGTCCTTTAGAGTACGGATGCCAAGGTTGTGAGTATTTTCTATTGTATGTTCTTTATGAATAAAAGCATTTAAAAACAGTGTTTCCTAAGAGACTCAACAATTACTGGGGTATAAGTTACTGAATAAAGGGACAGTTGATATTAAATATTTTCCTGTGTCCTCATAAACCACCCATGTCAGTAATTTCGTGTGTTTGACTGTCCACCGCTGCTCCCTGCGGTGGAGACATTCACGGCCGCTGATTCGCTGCTTCCCGAGCAGGACTGTGACGTTCAATCTGTGATTGGCTGGAGCACAATACAGCGTCATCGTCACGGGGTCTGAAAACAGGAAAGAAATGAGATATGGCTGCCTCTGTTGTGGCACCACTTGTAATTCTGCTTTCTTGTACTTGGGGATTTTGAAACAAAGGTAAGTGTTGCTGTTTAAAATATATATTGATCGTACTGCGTTACATGTATTTAAGTCAAAAGCAATCGATAAAGTGGTGGCTAACAGCTAATAGCTTATCCAGCACTTGCTTGTTAATGTTGGCATGCTAGCAATGCTTGTGTACATTACTGACTAAGGTTAGTTAAACAGGAGTCTGAGACTAGTATCTTAACAATACTGTTTTGATATAAACACAAATAGACATTGCCTGACAGGATGCATAACAGCCAATGTACCCAAGCAGCTAACTTTAACATTACTGTTGTTTTTCTTAGTTTCAACACAAATGCATTTCTGTTAATGTCCACATGTGGTTTGTAGTCACACACATGAAGATACTTTGCCTTTTTGTTTTTGGCTTTAGCAGCCAATGGAGACAGGAGATTTTTTATTTCACGTGACATAATTGACATAATGTTACTAACAATAATGTGGTAACTAGTACTGCTTTAGTTTTAAAAGCTTAACAGTTCAAATAACAGTTCTAGTAACATACTACTGTTTACTGCCACTTATTATTATGTATTTGTTACTTCTGTATTTCAATACTGTTTATATATTGTGTGTGTATTTACTATCCAACACAACCCCTGCACAAAAATATTTATTTATTCCACAATCTTTTGCACCATGCTCTTACCTCACTATTGGTTTGCTCTCTCCCTGCCTACATGGTTGTTGTTTTGTTTAAAATGTATGTGTGTTCTGCACACTGTGTCTATGGTTGCTCCTTGCTGAGCGATGCTGAGTGATTGCAAAATCACAGTGTTTCACCTAGGGAACACACCATGTAGCACCGAGGTGTCTTTGTTGGATGAATACATTTATTCATTTGGCAGATGCTTTTATCTGAAGTGACTTACATTTCAGGAACAACATACAATCATCAATACAGTAAGAGATCTATAATAGATACTAGTAAGAACAGCAATAAATACTAGTATGAGCTAATAGCGAGTACGGCATCAGTAGGGTAAATACCTAGGGAAAGAAGTAAGAGTTAATGAGTAGGACAGTCTATACAAGAGAATTGTAAGAAAAATGTTAGAGGTGTGACTAACCTGTT